AGAGAGAGAGAGAGAGAGAGAGAGAGAGAGAGAGATTCACCTCCCCAAGGTAGGGGAGGAGACCAAAGCTAGGAAATATGGCAGTCATAGCACAAAGAGCCACATGACCTGACCAGAGTTTAACAAAGCAATGGCCTGTTAAAAATCTTTAAATACTTCCTCTCTGGGTGATAAGCTACCACTGTTCCAAGCTCCCTGGTTGCCTTCCTCAACGCCCTGCTCTCCCAGTCCTTCTGCCAAAACCCACATTCCATCTTCTGTTTCAATAGCCCGTGATTGATCAGGGCCAGGACCACTGAGTTGTGAAACAGACTGAACACCACACCTGGCTCCCTTGTTCTAGCTGTCTGTCTCTAAGTGTTTCCTTTGGGCTGTGCACACAGTGCTGGGTGCCCCAAGCGAGACAGTGTATGAAATACCCATTTGCTAAGTAAGCACTTCCCCTGGGCCAGGCCCTGATGGGGTGGGTGGGAGAGTAGCCACCCTGCTCCTGGTCCCTTGAAGGATCACCTCGGCTCGGGAATTTCAGCTGCCTCATCATTGTCCAGGGCTACAGAATATTCCTCCAGGCCTGATATCTGCTGAGATGAGTCAGGAGCCTGGTGCTTACATGTGGAGACAAGAGGGTCCCCAGGAGACATGGCCCCAGGACGCATCCTCCTTTTGAAGAGCACCTCTATGTGTGTCTGTCTGTTCTCTACAGAGGGCTTCAGCCTACAGTCCATTTTATTACAGGGTCCTATGGCAAACAAAAACTTCAAACCCACTTGTTCCCAGTGAGCCATCTGCAGACAAGTGCCCTTGGTGGGGGAGCCAGGGAATGTGAGTGGAGCGACAAATGCTCTCCCCACTGCTGGGGGCCGCAGACCATGGTGGGTCACTCACCACACTTGCCCGCAGGTAGCTGACTCACAGCTTCTCCCGTGGGTCCCCCTCCCCTGCTGGCAGCCCCTTGGCCAGTCCTCCCCCAGCTCTGTGGCAGAGGACCTGACAAAATGGCCAGCGAGGGAAGAGGGCAGAACTTCTGATTAAAATAAAACCTGGACACTACAGCTGCAGAGATTAAGGGTTGGTTGCAGAGGGAGCTGGTTCCTCAGGTATTAAGGCAAACAATGAAATATATATGCTTACACCAACATCTAACATTTACCAAAAATGCCTCCATTGTATACACATGCTGTCCCGTAACCCACTTTTTTTACCCAACAGTATTCTACAAGTGCTCTTCCAACCACACAGTGGACCTGGCATCATCCCTTAGATAGCTGCATAGTATTCCCTTCTGAAAATGAGCCTGGAATGCAGTTCATCAACTGTTGTACACTCAGGCTGTTTCCTGTTTTCTGCTATCCTAAACAACACCATGGGACAAAGCCATATGCTTGGTTCTTTCTTCAGAATACAAATCCTGGAAGTAGAATGGCTGAGACGAAGACCAAGCCGAGCCCCCATGGCTGTGCCACAGACAGAAAGGCATGAGCTGTGTGCATGGAAGGGCATGTCCCTGCACCTCCAGATGTGGGGTTCCTGCTCTGTGGGGCCTAGACCAAACCCTGCCCTCTTGCTTCTGGACTCTGCCGAGAAGTCTCCTCAAGGTCAGGCTCCCTTCCTGCTCTGCAAGTATTGGTTCCAGCACCTTGCCAGGTTTCTCTTGAAATCAAAGGAGTCTGCAGGGTCATCAATAACTCTCACCTGTGAAATATCTGGCAACAAGGGTTGTGTCCATAGACAGAGGGTTTTGAGCCACATTAAAACCCTCAGGGGTTACAAGATGATCTCGATTCCATCCTAGGTGTTAACCAGTAACCATGCAAGGCCTGGCAAAGCCCATGGATGACTCTCTCTGACAGGGCCTGACTGCCCAGTCTCTGTGGGAGGGTGGAAATCCAAGACCTGGTGCCAAGATGGGGGCATGAGAGATCTACCCATGTATACTTCCCCCTAATTCAAATAAATACACCATTCAAGTGAATGTGCTCTGAATCATATTTTTAAACAAATGATGCCAGAATAATTGAACATCCATATGCAGAAAAAAATGAACCTCAACTCAGCTCACATTTTATACCAAAAGAAATCTCAATATGGAGCATAGACCTATATGTACAACCAAAAGCTATAAAACTTACAGAATAAAACATAGGAGAAAATCTTTATTTTTTTGTAGAGACAGTGTCTTGCTATGTTGACCAGGCTCATCTTGAACTCCTGGCCTCAAGTGATTCTCCTAACTCAGCCTCCCAAAGTGTTGGGAATATAGGCATGGGCCACCACACCTGGCCAAGAAAATCTTTATGACTTTGGGTTAGGCAAAGGTCTCTTAGATATAATGTAGAAGCACTATCTGTGGAAGAAAAGACTGATCAATTAGACTTTATGACTTCTCTGTGACTGTTAAGAGAATAAAAAGACAAACTACAGACTGGGAGAAAATACTTGCAAAACACAAATCTGAAAAAACTTTGTATCAAGAATATGTATTCTCAAAGCTCAATAATAAAACAAAGAGCCCTTTTAAAAAATGTGCAAAAAATATGGTCAGCCATTTCATCAAAAAATATAGACTTAGTCCGTTTGTGCTGTCTCTAACAGAATATCTGAGACTGAGTAATTTATTAAGGACAGAGATTTATTGACCCATGGTTCTGGAGGCTGGCAAGCCCAAAAGCACAGTGCCAGTATCTGACAAGGGTCTTCTTGCTATATCATTCCATGGTGGAAGGTGGGAGGGCAAGAGAGAGGGAGAGCGCAAGAAAGGGCTGAACCCATTTTTATAACAGCCCACTCCCTTGATAACAAATCCACGCTGGAAATAACAACATTAATCCATTGATGAGGGCCCTCGTGATCTAATTACCTCTTAAAGGTCCCATCTCTCAGTGCTGCTGTATTGGGGATTAAGTTTCCAACACATGAACTTTGGGGGGCACATTCAGACAATATTAGGATGTTCCATTTACATAGCATTCTGGAAAAGGCAAAACGATGGAACAGAAAACAGGTTTGTAGTGTCCAGGGGCAGGGGAGTTGGAAGGGGTTGACTACAAGGGGCATTCCTGTGGTGGTAGTAATACACTTGCACGCATTGGTCAACACTCACAGAAAAAAAGTAAATTTTTCTACATATAAATAGAAAAATTTGTTTTGCAGTCAGTTGGAAAATGAGTCTACGAACCAACCCTCCTCCAACAGGATGGCTCTCACGCTCCTTGGATGTAAAATTTCTGATGTTGGCTCTACCCTAGGAGAACCTGGCATCTAAGAGAAGCAGACAGGGGCCTGTAAAGGGGTGTGTGTGTCCCCACATACCCTGATGGGGCATACACAGAAATTAAATATGGACACACATTCTTCCATGCTTCTCCCATGAAGAGGTGGAGTCTATTTCTCCACTCTGTGAATCTGGGCTGGTCGTGGGACTTGCTCTTCCAATAGAATGTGGTGGAAAGGACGTCATGTGTGGGTTCTGGAGCCCAGGTCTCCGCACGCCTTGCATTTCACCTTCTTCCTCTTGGAGCATGGCTGACACTGCCATGTAGGGAAGATGGTTCAGGCTCCAGAGGATGAGAGGCCACATGGGGAGGACCCAGGAATACCAGCCAGTTCAGCACCCATTGCTGGACATGTGAAGAACCTTCCTGCTGCATGAACAAGGCCAGACACAGGCCACAGAGGAGCTGCTCGGGACTCCCAAGGGACTGTGGGAAATGATTAATAATTGTTTTCAGCCACTACTTTTTTCCTTTTTATCTCTCAGTACTTCAGTGTGTGTGTTTCTAAAACACAAGGACATTCTCTTATCTAGCCCCAGTGTAATGAGCAAAATTAGAAAATTAACATGGCCACAGAACTGTTAATTTTTTTCTGCAGACTTTAGAAGTAAAGTTTTACAGATTGCCCCATTGATGTCCTTTTCTGGTCTAGGATCCAGCTTATAAACACACATGGCCCCTAGTGGTCACATCTCTTTAGTCTCCTTCAAACTGAGACAGCGCCTTAGACTTTCTTTGTCCTTCATGACCTTGACACTTTGGAGGATTACGGCGGCCAGTTATTTTGTGGAATGTCCCTTATTTGGGGTTTTGGCAGAACATTAAAGTGGTCTTGTGTCCTTGTCCAAAGAGGCACACAATGTCAATGTGTCCCATTCTTGGTGATGTAGACTTTGCTCCCTTGATTGAAGTGATGTCTTCTGGGTTTCTCTGCAGAGTCACTATTTTCCCCTTCGAAATGATTGTCTTGTAAGAGCTATTTTGAGACTAGGTGACTATCCTATTTTTCATATTTTGCCCACTAGCTTTGTCACCCATTGAGGATTCTCACCTGAAACAATTCTTGCCACGGTGGTGGCTGAATGTTGATTTTCTAACTGCTTCATTCCTTCTAGGTCCTGAAGTGTTCGAGTGGTTCATCATGCAGAAATAGGTAACGGAGGAACACACTGAGCCCTGTGGCAATGTCTGTGCTGGGTGTAAGCCTGCATGACCCCGGGTGAGTGGAATGATTACAGTCACAGAATTGTTGGGAAGGTGTCAAGTCAGCTGTCAGTCCAGTGGTTTCTTACTCATCACTGCCTCCCAGTACCCGCATTGCGTGTCTACTGCACTGTCCTCCATGCTGGTCTCCTTGCTTCCACCCACAGTTGCCTCCCTGCAGACTGTTCTCAGTCATGCCTCTCTCTGCCTCCTCTATTCCTAAGCTCTCACAGCGGGAAACTCTGTGGCTCATCCTTACACCTGGAGTCAAAGCCACATTACCTTGCTTGGTCGCTGGGGCCCTAAGAGCAGGGCTCCTGTCTTCCCCTCCACGCTGTGCGTCTCTTGCCTTCCGCGGCAGCCATGCTGCCCTCCTGCTAGTCCAGCCTCAGCACTTTTGCCTTTGCTGTTCCTTCAGCCTGCAATGCCTTCTTTCTTTCTCTGCACTAACTTGTCTTCCTCAGATGGCCTTCCCTGCCAGCCCTCGTTAAAACAGCCCTCATGCCTCCTCCAGCTCCTTATCCTGCTTGACTTGCCTTCAGAGCAGTTCCCTATGCTAAAAATGTTGTCATTGTATTTGTTTCCTTGGTGTCTGTCCCCCCACAGTACCCAGAACAGTCCTGGGGCTCAGTGAGTATTTGCTGAGTGCAGGAAGGAATCCTTTGGGTCTCCCTGGACCTCCTAGATGCATCACTTCCTCCAGGAACCCCTTCAGATCAACCCAAGCTAAGTTGGGGTACCCCCTCTGGTCCCACAGCCTCTGTTGGGGAGGCACTTGTTGCCACACTGAGTGTCTACTGCTCTGTCTGCACCCCCAGCCCCCAAACAGCTCCCTGAGAGTAGAGATGGGGTCTGCGTGGCTCACAATTGATCTCTAGCACCTAACAAAGGGCCCGGCACAGCGTAAGTGCTCAATAAATGTTTGTTGAATAGCTGGCTGAGTGTAAATGGTTCTACTGTGGTGGGTCCACTTGGGTGGGCAATTCATGAGGCCATTACTGGGAAACTATAATGGGAGGTCTAGTAAAGTTCATCATGTTACTAGAAACAGTGCGTTTTAAAAACATTTCACACAAACCTACCTTAAACTCTGACTTGCTTTGTGTCTATATTAGGTAAGATGTATATCGGGCAAGTCCATTTTGGCCTACACCTCCTTCAGAGAGGATGAGCAACCAGAG